GGCTCTAATGGGTCGAGGCTATAATCTAAAATCAAAGTTGTAAATATTGTTCCAGTTTTTATAGATAAAAGGGAATAGTAGGCTGGTAAAGCCAAGTCTATATTTTTTAAGGACGTGTTTCTAATGATGTTGCAGGGAGAAATTGTTGCAGGGAGATAAATCTAATCTCATCATCCCAGTTACAATAGTGTACTTTTGCTTTTCTATGGATCAATCATCAATCATGCCAACATTGAATCACCCATGTACTGTACAAATCAAATGGGTTCCAAGAGGGCAATGCTCATGAGCTTTTCACTTTGCACTTGAGATTAAGGGCTCTATTCAATCCGCATCGCAGAAATACAGTTTTACAGCATGATTGAAATGTATATGCAATGTTCACGCTTTAGCGGAGACTGCATTCATGGTAAACGCTGCATGTCAGCGCAATCGGAAATTACCTTTACATTTCTATAGCGGAATCTGTAACGCTTCAGCTTTACAGACTGAATAGATCCCTTACTTTGAGCAGGATTCCAAATTCATTGTTTCTACATGAACAGTCTTATTTTTGGATCAACTTTGTATGGTCCTCTTGACTAAATGGACTTTGATATCTAATTGCATATGATTGCTTAATAACAGTTGTCTTACCATACTAAATGGACAAAATAATGTTAGGCTACAAGTGTTCCTTGTGTTAAGTATACCTAAAATGGATAATAAGCTTTGTCTTTGATTTAAAACAGCAGGCAGTGGCGCTCGCTGACCATGCTCTCAGCTTGTTCTGGAGTCTGCTGCCTGCAGCTGCTTATTATGGTACAGATGTCCTGTTCTTACTTCGGTGCAGTGAACTATCTATGAAATCCAGTAATCGTCAGGGTTCGTCACTATTATCGCTTCTTTTTCAATTGATCAAAAAATATTAAATTTGTCACATCAAAGAGCATGAGTAATTTAGAGCAGCAGTTGTTGCTTTTTTACCTTGATTTTTGGGCTGTGTTTTTCTGTCATGTATTCACATGAATTTGTATTCAATAAGTAAACATCGTTGCAAGACAACTAAAGGTTTTTCTTGATTTTTGTACATACATTAAAGATGATTGAGCAACCCCTCCAATGTGTCTAGATGTGTCCTTTTTTTGTACCATACATCTTGCATATCATTTTAGTTTTGCATGAGAATCTATTCCGGCTAGCAAATAACAGATGGAAATAGCCACTTTATTTTCCTTTCATTCTACATCAATGTAATGCTCTTTAAAGTAAATTCAACAAAACAAAATATTCATACTAAACAAAGGAGCACTTGTTACAAGAAACTGCTATGTCCTGTTACAGGAAACAGCTCAAAGTCTCCTTGGACCAAGGAGACATGAGAAGGTTGAAAGTGCTTTTTAAACATAAAGGTTAAAGGAGAAATACAAATCAAAAGCACATTAGTTATCCCTTTGTTACACAGGAGGTTGGTGGCACCTTAATTGGGGAGGACGGGCTCATGGTAATGGCTGGAGCGGAATAGTATCAAATACATGGTTTCCATGCGTTTGATGCCATTCCATTTGAGCTGTTCCGTCCATTATTATGAGCCGTCCTCCCCTCAGCAGCCTCCACTGCTTTAATAGAGACCTGTATTAGAACTGCGTGGCACCAGTCTCCCTCTGACATACACACACACACACACACACAAACAAACACTTGCATTTACTCCGGATTCCTGGGCCATTGCAGGGATGCTACTTGATGGGCAGCTTCTTAAATCACGAGTGAAGAGAAATGAAAACGCAGCAGAAGTTCAAGATAACTCAAAACCCAAGTGGGCAAAGTGTAGGAAGGGATCCTCCAGACAGACAATAATGTGTAAATCCAACCCCTCCCACATACTCCCATCACATCCAGCTATGCCCCACAACAGCACCAAAACAAAAACAGGCTCATCCCTCATGGGAGTCCTTCTGTGGGTGACATAATACTGGATAGAACATCAGACTTTCATTTTCTGCTTTATTGTTTGATATATTTCTGTGGCAGTGTCTACTTTGATAAACTGAAACGCTATGCAAAAAATTATTTTGTTTTTGCATTCATGGATTGTTAGCCAAGTTTGCTGCCCCTCATCATGCCTGTGATGGTGAAACTGCCCTACAGCCACTAGCCTCGACACGCCAGAGGGCGGCAGGGACACTGCTGGAAGCCAGAAGTAAATTAGTGTCTAAAGGAGCATTATTCTGGACCTAATTTAGCCCTCAATGTCAAACCTCAGTTTGGGAAATTATGACCAAAAAGACCTGCATGGCTTTGAGATCTAAAGCTATGGACTACTCAGCCCAGCCATTGAAATGTACACACTAGAAGCTATTCAGGGGGTCATTGAAAGAGATCAACAGTCCAAAGTTGTCTGCCCTCAGATGGTTTACAAGATGGCTGTCCAAACTATACATGGCCCTTTCGCACAGTCTGCTGATCAGAGTTTTGTGAATAATAACCAAATTTGCTGAAATCCTGTGATTCATTTGTGTACTGCTAGTACGACAAGTGTCACTATTGACGATTGGCAGTCTTGAAGGAGATCATTTTGGACATAGTCTAGGGTTGTATTTATACATTTAATGCTCCAATTGATAGCTTGTAAAACACAAAATCAATAATAACAAAAGGCCAATCTTGATGGTGAACATCTGAAAAGAAAATAACTACTATAAGCGCAGTGAGAATATCTCTGTGTGCACGTATGAGTGTGTGGAGCTCCTGTATGTGTGTATGGTAGAGGTAGTGTGTGCACGTAGTGTATATGAGTGGGGGTATAGTATAGGTTTATGTTGCTTGTTTTGGACCACCATTCTGTCAGTGCATAGGAATCTCACGGCCCTTAAGATCCACTACTGATAAACACTGATTATCCTGTGGCAATGGAATTGTCTAAATTTGAGACAATTCAAGAACAAAACATCAATAAATAATGAAAAGGTACTGATAGCAATAAATTGGAAAACCACTGCAGCATCAAAACAGGAACACCATGTCCTCGTAAAAAAAATAATAATCCTGTTTACAACAGGTTGCAAGTATAGTTTTTTCTGCAATCAACAAAAAGAAAAAGATAAATGAAAAAAAGGTTTTTGGTGACTAATTTAGTGAGCCACTATAAAAGGATTCTTCTATACAATCGTTTCTTAAATGCTATATACTTATGAATATATTATTTATTTTACAAAAATGTATCTTGAGAGGAGTATATTGAATGGCCCTTGGGCAGGGTAAGGTGTCTCTGAGGAGATGAAATAAGCGACTCTTCTCATTTCAGCTGGAGAAGACTGAGCTAACCAGCTAAGAGAAGAACACCCTCTAATGTCACTGGGATGTTCCACACAGACACAGTACTATACATTTCATCCCATTGTACTATCCAGCACTTCCTTGGTTTATATAGGACATTATACAATGGTGGTTATGAGGATGTTCCAAGGGAAAGATTGTGACGCATTTATGTCTCGCAATGAAACAGCACTAAAATATTAAGTTATGTTCAACGAATAGCAAGGGAGTTAGTAACTAACTAAGCAGTCAGTGTTGGGTAATTAATTCACCCATCCTGCAGATGAGGACACATTGGTAAATGACACAGGAGGAAACTGATACAGAAACACGACCGAAGCACATCCCTTAGTGACACCATGACAACCATTACAGCACTTCCTATTAAACCCTGATTGTGATGGATTGAACAACGTGATGTCATGTCCACTTCAGCGCCACCATGCTCCATGTGCCTGCTGGGTAAATTGGGGGGGGGGTCATCCTAATTTGAAGTAATGTGCATGAAGGCAGAGTAAACAACTGCATTTTCACAGCCTTTCCTTGGCAGACAACCTTGAGCATATTTAGGTCTCTGATAATAAGTGACAATGCCAAGTTTCATTTATGCCGCGTTCAAAACAACTGGGAACTCGGGAAAAAACTAGCTCCGACTGGGAAAAACCTATTTGAACGGTCATCCAACTAGGAATTTCAACTCGTGAATTCGGGCCTCTTTCTAGAGCTCCGACTTTCTGACCTGAAGATCACTGACGTCATGATTTTACCTTGTATTGTTTTGAACGCGCCATTAGTTCAGAAGCTCTGTCATAATACCAGCTGTCAACATTATCTACACTCTGTCTGCTATTGGTGTGTGGCACTTATTCACACCAAGAGAGGGCAAAATGGAACCAGCTAGTAGAGGATTCATACTTTGATGCCATTCAAACGAACACTTATTAGATCTCAGTGACTCCCAAATCCCCTCCCTGCTTAGGGCAGAGTCCTTACTTCAGACACGTAACTCAAGTTGAAATTCTGCCCAAATTCATCCAGGTGTTCCCCAGAAGTCAATGGAAGGTCTTGCCATCACAGTCCAGCCCTATTCTGGACACTGGAAGCGGTTTCTGAAGCACTGGAGCTGTTTTTCATTCTGTCCGAGCTGTTTTTCATTCTGTCCCAAATCTCTCCACTGTCCAACAGGAAAAGTAACTAGGGGATGGATGATGGTACTACTCCTGTAAGAGAGAAATGTATGTGGGGTAAAAAACGCTTTTAAAAATGTTTCAGATGAACACAAGACCTCAAGAAGACTTTGCAGCATCATTCGGAGATGACCCTCTTGTGCCCCCCTGGACAGCAGGACCAGACAGGCCATCCTCGCTCTATCGCTGTCCCAGTCCAACACTACCTCGACGAACACTACCAGCAGTCCTCTGTGTGTTGTCACACACCCATCCTCCCCCCCGTCCATCTGTCCATTAATTCATTCCTGTGCATAACCACCATTCAAAGTGCTTAGCATCTAGCAAAAACACCTTGTTCACCGACCTCCACTACATCTGGCATTGTAGACCTATATACATGAAAATCCATATTTTGCAGCACACACATGTACATGGGACATTCTGCAGCTCCTGAGCTGGTCAGCAATGTGCCTGACTGTGTCAGTGGCTAGCTGGGTATTGGCTGGGGGGTCCGGCCTAGCCCCTCCCAGGGCCCTAGTTGGAGCTGTCTGTGATGGGTTCTTCCAGCTCCAGGTCCATGGGATTGGGAGCTGTATTGATCTGGAGGCTGCCGTAGCAGGTATTACACACACGGGTGGGCTCAAACAGCTGCTGGCTTGGCACGGGGATCTTCTGGTCGCAGCAGCTGGCACAGAATACATTCCCACAGTTCCTACAGGGGGAGACATTGAGACAGCACAGGTTCAGTCTCCATCACAGAGGGGCTGTTTAATGGGTATAAGAGAAAAACCCATGCAGCAATTAAAAGTAAGACCCTTTGATTAATATGTAGGGCAAAATCTTTATACTCATCATAACTTGTAATACTGACACCCTGATAAGAAAACCTGACTGGCTGCACTTCATCAGGGAAATGCAACTTTTTAAAGTGGTCCCCTGAGTAAATATAAACCCACAAATCACCCTGGACCATCCAGGCTGGTCACATACAGTACTGTAGGTCTTAAAGGACTGAGTGGACTCCAGTAGCATGCTGGCTGGTGGGGTGCGATGCAGGGGGCAGCATGCTGTCAGGATGTGAAGGGCCTACAGTAGGTACAGACTAGTGGCTCAACACTTAGGTCACTGATTAGACATTTCCAGGTGGAAGTATTGGTGAAATGCCTGAAAACCAAAACCTCCCCTATCGCCCACTCACTAATGCACCCCTTGCACTGCCATGAAAAACAGGTGTGTTGTTAATACATATTTTCAGACAACTGCCAGCCACTCTCAGCTTCATGCTCATACCTTCCACATGACAAATGACCAGACAGGAGCTGGCCATCAGGGTCATGTGAGAACCATCTGAGAGTTTCTTAAGGAGAATGCTGCCAACATAAAGTGACTGAGTGGGTTGGTTTTACAGTAGGCAGGGGGTGGGTTAGTTTAGGATGAAGTCAACCAAAAAGGTGGAGCAATGCAGGATTAGAGGGAGGGGAGGTGAGAGGGGAGAGGGGGAGGGGGGACAGTGGAGCCGTATCTCACCAGGCCTCTTGGACAGGCTCCCTGTCACTGTGGAGGAGAGGAGGGTACAGAATGGAGCAACCATCAGAGAGAAGCCCAGACCAGACTCACACACTGCTCTCTCATCTAGTCTACACTGCTAATACAGACAACATATCTCCCTATCACACTCACTCAGACACTGTAGAAACCCTACTTTCCCAGTTCCATACATAAACACTAGACCTCTTTACATAGGCTACTCCCATTATGGCACAGATTCAAAAACTTTCCACAAGTTTCCTTCACTGTGGTCTTGACTGGATGATACCAGTAGCACAGAAAAGGTCTGTCTTGAATGGCCTTTATTTATGCTGCACATTCAAACAATCTTTAAATTACACTACATGTCTGCAATCAGCCCTACAGTGTAGCAAACGTCACAAATAACCCATATGCTAACATATTGCCAACAAGCTAATTGTCATGTAAGGCCTTTACAGCTGGGCTCAAAGCCAAGACACCTTGTAAAACTCCAGTTTGCATAACAGGGAAAAAACTAAATGAAGATGCTTTTTAGGCTACAATGTGGCATTGTGAGCATTCTGTTGGACCGGGACCAAAATGGTGCCGGTAAACTAGTTTGCTGACTATGGCTTAACCAAGATGATGATGATAGTAAACAACAAAGTGAAAAGCAGACAGCATATTGATATGCAGCTTTTGAAGCAGCATGGAAATCTAAATAGCAGTGGCAACATGTTGAAGCTGTCCCACATTGGCCCAGAGAACAGGGGAAGTAGAGAGGATAACAATATGAGGAAATGAGAAAACCAAAGAGGCAATGCAGAGACTACAGCACCTGCATGGCAGATCTGTCCAATTCATAAGCACATCCACAACATCCATGAAGAAAACTAAATATTTGTCTTCTCTCACAAAACGGTAATGATAGAATGACAATTTTCATTGTCATTTATCATTGATGCCTGCGCATAATAAGGCAAATCACATTACAACACCTGAATTACAGGCGATACATTTGCAAAGCAAAAAAAAGACCCAAACGAACAAAAGCAGGAAGCTCTGGGAAAGAAGAAACAAAACGAGTAGAAAACAAACTGAAATCAACAAGCTTGAACTGAGACAGTGTCTCCTTAGCTTAGTCTCATCACATCAGAAGTGATAGTAGTGTGTCTGAGGGCAGCCAGGGCCCAGTCAAAACCATAGCAAGGACAAGAGCCTGTGGTTGGTTACCTGCAGTGATGCTTCCTGGTGGCGAGCCAGAACCTACTCTCACACCCGTAGCACTGGGCTGCCAAGTGGTCCGGGTACCAGCGGGTCACCTGCAACAGGCAGCCAAACGGCAGTTCTCAGCTAGCATCTTAAGGTCAGCCAAACTTTATCTGTGAACTCCCAGTCTCTACAGCCACTATAGTCCATCATTCAACTTCCACCCCTCATACCTGTCCCCTATTGTAGCATCTCATTCAGCCAGGCAGCTTACCTCACTGTCATTCTTGTCCACCTGCTCCCAGCTAGCCTCTGAGAAGAGCTCTGTGCTGCAGCGTGACAGGCAGTTAGCGTCCAGGTTATACTCCGAGTCTGTCATTGAGGTCTGAGTGAGAGGGAATGAGACAACAGAAACACAGTATCTTTGTAATTTCACATCTGACTAAATATGAATAATTACGTGGTTCTCCCCTCAAATGTCTAGTTCCTGAAAGTTTCCTCTACTTCTCACAAATACTAAACATTTTCCTCAGCACTATCAGTCTGATCAAATCATTTTTGAAACTCCTCACTCAAATCAACTTAGTCACGGCTCTTAACTGCCAAGTCATCTCTCTGCAGGGTGAGGCCGAGTCTTACCACTTCGTCTCCCATGTCTCCGTTGATCCTGAGGGACGCTGCGTGGTGATGGCTCTCCAGGCGGCTCCACAGCTCCTGCACCTGCTTCTTCAGTGTCTCTACCTCCATCTGGTGGCCTGCCTCGATCTGCCTCAGCCGCTGCTGGATGGCATCCGTGTGTAGCGTCAGCCCGTCGTCGTCCAGGTGACTGCGGGCCGGCTGCTCGGGGCTGGGTGTGGCAGCGGGGCGCCCCAGTAGGGTGTGGAGGCAGCGGTGCTGGGAGCAGCTTCCCCGGCGGTGGTGGGTCAGGGAGCTGCAGGAGGCCAGGGACACCTGGCGGCTCAGTGGGGCCCGCTCCCCATTCACCTTGTGAGGGCCACTGCAGGGCTCCCCCTCCAAGCTCTCGCCATTACACAGACCATCCCTGCTGGGATCAGCACTCAAAGACTGGAAGGCACTGATGGAGGGCCGCTTGTGTCCTCCATTTGAAATCCTGGGTGCCCCCTGCTCTGGCTCTGCCTCCCCGTTCATTCTCCTGTGGCAGGGGGGTTGACTCCTGCCTTCAGTGCAGGGCTTGGGGCCTGGGCAGACGGGTACATGCACTGGGGCCTCTGGCCTGGTGCAGGCCTCTTCAGTCAGAGTCTCTGTTGAGCTCTCCATGAGGGAGGCCCCCTTGTCAACCTGCACCAGGACCTCATAGAGGTGTCTGCTGGACTTAGGCTCTGGTGGAAGGTGATTCTCAGCAGCCTCTGGTGTCATCTCTCCAAAGCCATTGGTCATAGTTCTAGGGGCAGCGGGGGCTGGCTGGGCTGGGCTGGGGGTGCTGGTGCTAGGGTTGTGGTCTGGCTCCTCCTGGGCAGTACAGTTCTCCAGAACCTGTTTCACCAGCTCCTCTTCCGGCTCCTCTACCGCCTCCTGCTCCTTTGGAAAGTCCGTGGGACTGGCTGGAGAGACACTAAACTCCTCCTCAGGTTCATCTGTGCCATTCTCTGGGTGATGCCCATTAGTGATAGTCTCAGCCCCATTGATGTTAGCTTGTTTATCAGTCTCAGCATCACTGGTGCTGACCTCTTTCTCTGTCCCTGTTCCATTAGCGTTAGCATCAATCAGAGTTTGAGCCACGGCAATAGGAGGAGCAGCAGCGTTAGCCTCTCTCTGAGCATCGGCACCAGCCTCCTCCTCCGTTGCTTCCTGGAGAATGTTCTCCATCTGTCCCTCTGCCACAGTCAGCTCAACGGAGAGCTCCATCTCTTCTCCTGCTGCTAACAACCCCTTGGAGGCTCTGTCTCTCAGCTCAGTCTGCCCTCCTTCAGGGCTGTCCTCCGGCTCAGAGTCGGCCGTGCCTGCCTGAGGCCCTGCTGCTCCAGGCTGGCCATTACCCCGCCCATCCTGAGCTCCCCCTCCGTCGGGCCCCACAGCGATGTTGAGCTCCAGAGAGCGCCGGTGGTCCTGCCACTTCTCATTCAGGTTTGGGTCACTGGAGCGCCGGTTGGGGGCAAGCGAGCTCCCCAGCTCACACGCGCTGGGCAAGTTATCGAAGGAACGGGTCTTCGGACGTCTTTCGAGGGAGGAAAGAGAGGAATTGAGTTGATTAGCACATGGAAAAAACTGCCTTTTATCCCATAACAATGGCTCTGTATCTTTGAGGCCTCATGATTGAAGTGGAGGCTGTGTTTATAATCAGGTAATCATATTAGAGTGTTCAGGATTAAGACATGAATGTCCACAAATGGAAAATACGGAGTGACGCATAGCTCAAGTGATTGAGAAGATGATGTAAGATTAGCGTTGTAATCAAATGTTACCCCCATAACCTATTGATCAAAGAAAAACTAAAAACAGACAGTTAATCTTGCACAGAAAATTAAATATGGAACGTATTCAGCACTGTTTTTGAAACACGTCCTCAACACAGTTATCGTCAATAACAAATTACCACAAAAATACCTTGCGCTATGTTGATGTTGTTGTAAACAGCCTCAACCTACTTATTTTTCTCTTTTCAAGACACTGACAAAGTCATGAGAGATGAAATAAGCAGAGGATAAAAACGCTTTGCATCTCCCAGACCAATCATTGTGTGAGTGAAAAGCAGTTACAGAGCGAGGTCCCTCTGGCTGTGGTGCCCTCAACCTGGGTCTATCTTACATCAGGGAGTAGGGAGCAGAGTGGCAGGCTCACCTGCCCATGGGAGTGTCCTCAGGGTTGGCGCCTGGCACAGGATAGGGTGCACACGACTCGTCAGAGGGCGTGGTGGGGGAGGAGCTGGGAAGGTATACTGCCGTCCACAGCATCAGGTTACGCACATGACACACTGGGTGGAGCACCTACAACAGACAAAACTTTAGATATAGGAATATACAGGGGGTTGTACATAAATATAAATATATGTGACAGACAAAATATTCACACTTGAGCAAGCAAGGCAAGAAAGTACAATGTCAACAAAGTGGCCACAAAAACAGTTTTAAATAGATAAGATGACATTGTTTGTGTCATAAATTAAGTTTAGGTCTAGGACCATGAACATTTTAAGTAAACAAATTTAAGTTATAGCACTCTTGAGCGTCCCCTAAAAGTCCCCCCCCCCATTGTATTTAAGGCATGGAAGACTGTTCCAATATAAACGGGTGAGCAAACAGAGCAGACATACAGTCTCGGAGTGGGAGGAGTAGAGCATGTTCCTCAAGGCGCGGTTGGCTGGTCGCAGCAGTGACCACACGGAGCAGGTCCTCTCCCGAACCTGACGGTCCTCCCTCTCCTTCCCACTGTTGCACAGGAAGGTGCCAAACAAACAGGAGTAGGAGTGCTGCACCATCTTCACCTGCACAGAAACACACAAACATGCAGGAGCATGCTCACATCTCAGGTATGATCATGATAGTGAGATTAAAAAAGGCCATGCATCTCTGAGCCTCTCCAGGGTAATTACATTTCACGGTCTCACAGCCAGATAAAGATAGTAACTCACTCCAACAAAATTTGACTGTCATTCATACTAATCCAAATATAAAAATGTGAGTTGCATCCAATTATGTGATCTAATTCAGATTCCTGACTAAGTGAGTTTGATTCCATCATACTCAGGTCTATGGTCATCCTCCTCACCAGGAAGGCATCATTGAACTCAAAGGAGCATGGGAACTGCCTTTGGAGCTGGTGAACACAGTCCAGCCACTGCAGGAAGACCGGGCAGCGCTCGTTCAGGTCCTCAGAGTTCTCCCCGTGGCCACAGCGGTCAGCAAACTTATGGCCAAAGTCCAGCCACTCAGTCTCCACCAGCACCTGGAAGCCCTGTAGAGAAATCATACCAACAGTAAGAGATACATTTCAGTCAAAATGGATGTTATACTTTGAGAGGGGCACATACGCATTTCTTCCAGCCATGTAAATGTGCCTCTATGTCTAATTATTAAATCAACCTAAAATGTTCCTATACACAACAATCAACAGGGCCCAATGATCGCCCCAGCCAGCCTACCTCAATGGTGCGGTAGTATGGGTCCAACAACAGCTTGGACAGGGCAGCGATCTGGGGCGTGCGGTCCCATCCGTCAGAGCAGTGCACCAGAACAGGTCTGTGGTCGCGGTCCACAGCGTTCACCACCAGCAGGGCAGCCTTCAGCAGCAGAGACAGGTGCTGCAGCCACTTGGTGCTCTCCAGAGCAGACAGCCAGCTGCAGAGGGAGAGATGGTTAAGCCATCTCCTGAATGCACAGCCTCACTGTAGTGTACATAAACTACTCACATACACTCAGTCACACCAAGCACTGACTTAAACACAACAGCTCATCTTAGATACAGACAAACCAAAGACCTCCTCTAAATGTGATGAGCAAAGAGGCTCTTATACAAACAATAAATAAAAACAGGGAGTTTTCAAGCTGTCCCAAATCAAAAATATGTATCTTTAATATGTCTGTTTCATTGAATTTGACCATAGTTATGAAAAGTGTTTACTATTATTGCGTCTGAGTACTTTCAACAATGTGCTCTTGGTTTAAGGGAGACATTGTGATTAAATTACAAATGGCAGAGTGGAATGTGGGAGTTCAGATGGAAAGAGATCCTTTAGCTGTGGGCTGGGCCAGGTTCCTAAACCAGAACCAGATGTGTTGGCAAGGCCAAAACACAGCTGGAGTTACTACAGTTACTGAGCCACCATGGCAACAAACTGGAGTGGAGTAGATGGTCTCTACTTGTGTAATTCATCTTGGATTGTGAGTCCAGTCGGAATGGACCTCCACTACAGTGGTAGAGGCACAACTCACTTCGCCGGGTCGGGCATCTGGGTGCAGAGGAAGCGCAGAGACTGGAAACTCTTGCGGATGGAGTGGATGTTGGCCATGCCCATGAACACCACCTCACAGTTGGGGTAGTACTCTGTATGGAGGAGGAGATGGTGAAAGTCAGTTTGTGGCAAAATAACATATCATTAATCCCAAAACAACTACTCTAGGGCAGAAAATAACAGTACAGATTGTGAGTTTGGACAGTTTTTCTGTTGACATTAAGTTGACAACCTGCTTCCATGCAAACCCATTGACAGTCTCCTGAATCCACTGGCCCAGAGAGGAGCCGTCTTACCTGGGCATTCACAGCCCCCTCCCTTGGCCCTGTTGGCCACAGCGGCTGCATATGACCTGGCATCCAGGATCAGCAGCTTTTGTGGCTGGATGGCCAGCGTCTCTACCTCCGAGCTGTTCGTCAGCGACGATTCTGACACACAAAGAGACACAACCTGAATTAAATCTCTACATAGGTTATGACAGTCAGTATTATCAAATAAAAGCAGTAATACATGTGATGGCCCCTCAGACAAGCCCTGACAGGCCCACATTGCACAAACAAGTGTCTGCAGCAAAGCCACACAAACAGATAGGAAGGTGCTGCTTCAGCACTCTGTGTGTATGGTATGGTGTGTGAGAATTTGTGCATGTTTGTGTGTTGTGGACTGACCGAAGTCAGTGTCCACGAGGTCATTGGCGCCGATGATTCCATTGGTTCCATTGATGTAGGATCCGTTTGCCAGGTGTTTGCATGAGCTGCAGTCCACAGCACAGGCCCTGGCGATGGACTGGACCAGGTGCTCGTCGTCTGCATTCCTCCAGCCCCACCAACTGACCTCCGGCTGGCCGCAGCGGGCGATCACAGCCCCACTGCTCTGGTGCCTGGAAGAGAGGCATGGGACAGTCAGGAGACACGTAACAGAACAGACTGCACTGTGTGGGAAAACAACATGGAGCAACCCTGATCCATGTGGCCTCTGGAGTCAATAACACTATCAATAACAAGGTATCCTGTGAAAGGATTGGGTCCAAAAAACGTACATATGCAAAGATGGAACCCCCCTTACTCACGCAACACACCTCAGGGTGAAAGGAGTTGTCCTTGCTTTGCATTGTATTCGCAGACAACCTAACCCTGTTCTCTCTCACTGACTAACAACACTACACACAGACAGAGAGAAAGCCCCACCTGAACACAACGGCCGGGAACCTCTTCCAGGAGCGGAAGGCTGCCACGTTCTCCAGCTCCTTGTCTGTGATCCAGGCTGGCACCAGGAGCTGCTGCGGATAGCTGGAGCACAGCCTGGCAACACCAGGTGAGAGAGGAGCAGGGGTTAGAACAGGAGGGGGGCACAGGCTGAGTGATGCCTCTAAAAAGCCCCTATCCTCGGACACCTAATCGTGGACAAGGCCCTTATCTACAGGAGGCTCATCACCACTGGAGGACAACAGTACAACCAGCCTCTGTATCAGACACACAGAGCAGTGTGTGCAGCAGGATGACAGCAGACAGTTATCATGTCACTACCCTAGGAGGCCTGGTAATCAGATCAGCCCTGTAGGATGCAGGCTGTCAGGGGGCTGTTGGCTGCTCATACCGGAACTTGCTGTTGATGTCAGATATCCTCCAGGCGTTTTGAGTGTCAAAGCCCATCCTCTCCACCTCGTTCTTGAACCAAGAGGTCACATGCTCTCCTAACGGGGCACACAGGGACACAGAGGAGATGTGAGATGAGACAAGATGAAGGGAAGGACTTAGGTCTGTCAACACTGAGGACACCGGTGTCCCGGTCAGCGTACCTGGCCTGCACAGCTCCCCGTGCTGCTCCTTCTCCCCGGCGTACACATCCACACACCAGGCATGGAAGGGGAAGGAGAAGAGGTCCTCCAGGCAAGACGGAGGGCGGACCGCAGTGTTCAGCCGCTTCAGCCACTCCTGACACTGCTCTAAGGTGGAGAACTGACACCTGGGAGACAAGTAGCACAATCATACGTACTAGCTATAGGCCTAAACCAAGACATGAACATCAGCAAAAATGTTACTTGCAATATGCATGCATGTATTGTTTCAGTTGGTCCTCCTACCTGACGACCTTACAGTCCTTGCAGGTGACATGGAGCTGGAACATGTCACGACACTCCACAGTCTCTATGAGCTGCAGAGGGACCTGGTGAGAGAAGAAGTACACAGACACAGGAACTGAACAGTCACACTCTGTACCACAATCTCCAAACCAGCAGGCTGACATTTTCCACACACAAATAACCTAGCTTCAGGCTCTAGGCCTACATGTGCTCAACATTTGCACTAGGGGATATCCTAAAGAAAGACAGCAGAATTCACAAGCACATGCAGTAAATGCTTGTGCAATATTGCCACCAATAAAATGTCTAAATTCCAAGCCAGTTAGTAGGCTAGTTCATGTTTCATGTTAAGTGTGATAATGCCGATCATGCAAGGAGTGCTAAAGGCTACACTGCTGTCCCCATGTAAATCTGAGCACATACTGCACCTCGACACCTACGGCTGCAAATGTAAACTAGCTGCATTAGTTGTCAAATGGCATTTCCCAGGCAAAGGTTGTCATTTTCACATCTCCTCGAGCACTGCCTTCCGATTTGATGTTCTTCCCTCGTGTACTGATTCAGTATGTAAAACTGTTGGATCATAGTGCAGTAAATGTTCATCTGCAGCCCTATCATCTCACATTTACTGTCTATTAAACCCTCATCTGATCTTGGCAAATACCATCAAAACTATAGTATTATACTTAAAGGTCCAGTACGTAGCTTTGTGGGCAACTCGAGGCGTAAGTTTAGCTTTTGTGTCTTTTTACTTTCGGTTTTGTACACCAGCTTCAAACAATATATTTTTTGTTATTGAAAAAATCTATTTCACAGCGGTTTAGATCGTACAATCATTCTCAACACCCCTCAAACTCAACTCTGGACCTCGAAGCCAGTTCCACTGCTTTTTCTCTGCTTCCATTGTTCCCCTGTAATCAGGGACTGATTTAGACCTGAGAAATCAGGTGGGTGCAATTAATTATCAGGTAGATCAGAAAACCAGCAGGATCCGGACCTCGTAAGAGTTAAATACCCCTGCTCTACACTATACATTGCTTGTTTGGTCACAAACTGAAATTAGGCGAACATTATAGCATTTTTGCAAGCAGGTAATGGCAGAGCAAAGAGTTTCACCCAAAATCACATTTTCTGCTCTGCAGTGACTCAGAGGGGAGTGCAGCGAATGCTGTTTCACAATTCCAGCACGGTCCAATGCCATGCATAATGGACAGGCGGTCAGTGTTCAACGGGTTAACACACACACACAGTTGCCATGATGTCATCCACCCCAGCCCAGTCTGTGGGCAGGGCACCACACTGTGCATGCAGGGGCTGCTGGGTACTTACTGACACCTCACAACAACTGTCACTCTGTTGTTCAAAACAAAACAGGAGAGACAATAAAGAAAAGGGAAACAGAGTTAAAGCTGTGTCTGTGCTGCTGCCTGGCCACACATTCCTTACGCTCGCACATCCCGCGGCTCTGTTTTAATTCCTGCTCTCTAATCTACATCTGACCACACCATGAATTCCTTGGATGCTTGTTAACGGCCTGCCTCACTGCGCCAGCACTTTACCGTCCCATCCAAATGTGTGAAGAGAACACACTCTGTTGTTTCATGGAACATAGTGAGATTCAGTTCCAATATAACACGACTGACTGACGGCAGCAATGGGAAAAAAATCTAATAGGTGAGCTAGCCGGTAAGAACTGGAACATTCTAACACACTGTTAGTGTGGAGGTGATTGAACAAAAACGTCCCTGTATACCTCAAAACATGCCGATCCAAAAGGAGAACCTGCACAACTGTACAGCAATGCTGTTTATCACTACGGTACTATACTACAGTACTACACCATCTCAGGATGGTGAGACGAAGTGAAGCAGTGTCATTTGTTTGAAATGGGGGGAATTTTCTGTACTAAGACCAGTGTAATGATGAGATGTCAATTTAAAAGAATAACTACACATTGGTAACATATGGTCTTTTTATAGACAACATGGCAAAAGGGGGAGAGGGCGGAAGTGTTGTGCATCCCTGACGGGATCTTTGCAACCATGGCAACGGCGAGTGGAAAGAGAAAAGCAAACGACTGAGAATGCCCTCTCCAGACTGCCTGCCTGCCTTGTTACCACAACAGTAGTGGCACACTGTCACTGGACCCATCACACAGTCTCCATTCATAAAAAGTCAAGGTACACAGAGACTGGAGACAATAGGGTTTCACTTTACTGACCAGCTGTAGAGTTTCTTCAGACACTTAGGCACTGTCTGTGAAATTAAAGTGTGTGTTAGGCTGGGTGATAAACTGTGTGCTATCAAGTACCTAGCCTTCATTTAGTTAGTAGGCAGTACTTACGTTGACGATTGACTCTTTGAACTTGATGTGGAGGCGGTAGCTGGACATGGCGATGATGGCATCCTCCGCTCTCCCCACATACTTTGTGAACTCACCATGCAGCTCGGGAAAGGGCACCTGGCACCACAAGAGGGAAGTTATCAAAGGGCACAGAACCTTATCACTTGAAAAGGTGCCATATAAATACACACCTACGTACTGTAAATTACCATTACAAACACATTTAGAATGACTTTGCGATAACTGTACAGGCATGACTTGGCATTGTGCTAACCAGCTCCGACAACTAGTGTTCTCACCTGCAGGCTCTCCTCCTCCAGGACTGGGGGCTTCTTGGGGAAGATCTGATTGGCGTGGATAGATTCCATGCTCTGCGGACCCTCCTCCTCCTGCAGAACATATGTAGTTGATTATGTGGAATGTCCAGTGTCTTGTAAAATAACTCAATAGTCCACTACTATCCCCATTCACTGGTTACAATCACCTTCGACTGTAGCCATTCTCCAACCACTCCCACATTTAACCTAATCTGTTTTCATACCTCTAACAGTAACTTAATTGAATAGGCTTTCAAACAGCCACTGATGAAGCCAAATGTAATCAGAGGAGTGTTGATGCTAAAACCAACTATAAATAGTGAGGACACACGTGAGGAGCTCTTTGATGTTGCATACCAACTTCCCAATTTAAGATTAGCATATTTCAGAAACCCACAGAGGACATTTATTTGATGGTAATGTGAGGCATGAACACATAAGCAGTTAAATTGTTTTTATTCAGGGACTAAATTGGTGAAAAATGTTTAGACTGCCTTCTGAAACAGGGAGGGCTATAGCAGAAGGCTGTACTCTATGCTCTGTCCCGGTCTGTTTCAGCCACACCATGGGGCCCATGGGCGGTAAGGCTAGGACACTATAGGAGTCCAGTCTAGTGAGAGCATGATGGCAATACTGGCAGTGACAAAGAGAGATTAGGGTGGTCTGGTCCATAGACATTGCAGATAAAGGACAGGGCTGGGGCAGCAGGCTGCTGGCTCAGCACGACCATCCCACTAACTGATTGTGTCTGGGAGCCAAGCTGACACAGAGTGTCCTGTCCTGTCCGCATGGCTGGGGTAACACTTTGCAGGGGCCAGTCAGAGGGCAGGCACAGGAACGCATAACACACACGGTCAGACACACACACACAGGCAGAGACACACACACGGTCAGACACACACACACGGTCAGACACACACACACGGTCAGAGACACACATAAAATACATACACATCAGGGATTTAAGATCTGAAAGACACTCGCCCATCAGGCAAACCAGGAGTATTTTTTGGTTGACCGAAGATAAACACATTTTTAAAAAAAATAAAAAATTATAACAATAAATCTCCTTCCCAATGGGGCAACCTCCACAAGCAGGCTCAACTTGCGCGACTGCTCAGGTCACTTGCCCCGAGTTATAGGGCAATCCTTAATTTCAATCCCCGCACACACACGTTTTCCGAGCAAGGTTTATGATTGACCAAGATGTAACTCATATCACATGCAGTGGTAATACTACTCCATATCACCATAACACTGAAAGGCTTCCAGTCAAAATAAAAGACTCCCTGCTGAAGCACTGTGTCCGATGCAACCGTCTAGCTACCAGTAAACACAGCTGATTTAAAAGGCTGAAAATCAATGGAGAGTTTCCGATTCTGCAGACAGCACACACACAGATCGCAGCTATTCTTCACAGGTAGATAGAAAACAGCCATGATGAGGATGCACTTTACCATGGCCCTTGTGAAGGAGTGTGGGTCACTGGACAAGGAACAGGCCTTCCTCACTGGACCCCAAATCTATGTCTGTAGAGAGTGGAAGAAGGGGAAATAAAGAGAAAGATGCTGCTAATGCTTTACTGCTTAATCTTACACAACAATCTCATTTGATTGCTCCATAAAACTGACTTCAGTAGGTTTATCTTATTGCAGAGGTTCACTTGTAAACAATCCCTCATTAACAGTGATCACATGGATGAGAGTAACACCCTGCAGTACCTGGATTTGGAGTGCAGGGCACATAAACAGTCATTCTGTGTCACATGTAGAAAATGAAATGCAGCCCTTATACAGACATTTTACATTTTAGTAATTTAGCAGACGGTCTTATCCAGAGCGACTTACAGTTAGTGAGTGCATAAATGTTTTTTCATACTGGTCCCCCTTGGGAATCGAACCCACAACCCTAGCGTTGCAAGCACCATGCTCTACCAACTGAGCTACACAGGACCAAGATGTTATTTTCAATAGGTTGTTATCACTTAAAAATGATAGGAAGCTAAACTAACTGAGTAGTGACTACTGTGATGTGCACCAGTTTTGCTACGTACCAAAGAGAACAAGCAACAGATGAGGTGCTATCCTGATGATCCTGTTTTGAAAATGTCAGTTAGAGTGAAGACATTGAATTCTGTAGGAAAAGAGAGAACATGAAACTAGTTATTATGAGGAATGAACAAATGGTTAATTTGCTAACTCTTCTAAACATCCCAAACAGCTTACTTTTCACTGGAACATTCAATCTACAATATACCTTTTCATTCCCTGGTAAATATAGCTGTGCTGATGGTTACAGTAGGCTGCAAGTGAGGTGAGAGACACCACTTAAAACACATTTATGGAATGGAAAGAAGCCATTTACGTAACATGGGTCTTGTCCAGTTGGGCCACAGTATACTATCCTCATCAATACTGATGGGGGGGAGGAGTGGGGAATTATAAAAATAAATAACAAAATCGATACAGCTAGTGCATTCGGAAAGTATTCAGACCCCTTCCTTTTTTCCACATTTTGTTATGTTACAGCCTTATTCTAAAAAATCCTCATCAATCTACACACAATACCCCATAATCAGGGCTCCCGAGTGGCGCAGCGGTCTAAGGCAGTGCATCTCAGTGCTTGAGGCGTCACTACAGACCCCCTGGTTCGATTCCAGGCTGTATCACAACCGGCCGTGATTGGGAGTCCCATTGGGCGGTGCGCAACTGGCCCAGCGTTGTCCGGGTTTGGCCGGTGTAGGCCAGTAACCAAAAATCTCCATTTAATTCATTTTAAATTCAGGCTATAAACGCAACAAAATGTGGAAAAAGTCAAGGAGCGTGAATACTTTCTGAAGACACTGTACATTTTGGGAGTTCAGACATAAAGGCTATTGTTAGAAAGATTAAGTTATCGTCTATTACAGTCAAATAATGTCTAAGCGTTTCGGTATCCATATGACCGATTCTGTTGGACCAAACCTCAAATGCAAATAGCGAGTTTAAATTGCTTTTTGTCAGAGGAAGAAGTTATTTTGTCTTTGCTGTGAGTGGAAGGGGCTTGGTGTCTATGCATGTGGGAAGGTGCACAGTGTACACAGCACAGAGGGAGATGAAACCAAAAAGACACAGAACGCTCATTAACAAAAGTATAATAATGTAAACCTCAATTTCTTCGATACAGGCATTTGGAACATTGCGCTAAAACATGAATTTGAATTAATTCGATATATCGCCCAGCACTATAACAGAGGCATTTTGCATTATTTTACCTTTACATTGCACCTTCATTGTCTCATCTCTGTTCAAGATTTGCAACCTGCCTGCCTGCATTAACAGTCCCACATATGCTTGTAAATGTCAGACCCTGCAGACTGAAACAGCACGATTCCTTTCTGAACTGTAGAATCTGAACCTACTAGATTGTGAACACCTAGGCACAGCCTAAAGGGACGTAATTCTGTCACCCGACTGAGGCGAGAGCTATGTTAGCAGTGCATGCTCCAGAGGCACCCTCCTCCTCACTGGCACTGACTGATAAAACGTATCTGTCACACACACACACACACACACACACACACACTGGTGCGTGGACACACCAACAGAGCATGTTGTTTACCTCAGCGGGCTCGTGACCCATGGCCTCGGCTCAGTCTGGCTCTGTGTGCAGAGTCACACAGGGCAGAGCTAAGCCCCTTAGCGCCTCAGTCCTGTCCTGTGACTACCATGCATCTGATCTGAACCTGCAGCACTCAAGCAAAGGCTTAAACCATAATCTCTCAAAGTGAATACTTCCCATCTCAGTGACATAAGGAGGATATGAGGAAATAGAGTCAGAGGATCTGTGTGACGTTATGGGGAAGAGTAAAGTTTGAGTAGTTGCATGTGCATGAGCTGGTCTCGAGAACCCAAGAAGGCTTACAACTTCCCCTTTATTGGGTTCTCAGCTGAACATATGGACCACAGCTCCATGTGAACTACAATCCCGATGCTCTGTTTTAATGTTTAGAAACGTTAATAATCCTCGCTTGCGATAGAGTATTGGAAACCTTTGGAACTTAACTTTCATACCAGAAAGAAATAACCTTCCAAATACAAAAGATACACTTACTGTGCGCAGTTTAACAATTTTGCTCCCGGCTGTTTTCACCGCCTCCAGCCGAGGTGGCAACAACACATCGTCTCTCACCTTGTGCTAGCATTTCCATTGGGCCATTCCATTCCACATTTCCAGCTGGATCGCATGTGTTTTTCTCAAAATAAATAAATATATACACTGCTCAAAAAAATAAAAGGAACACTTAAACAACACAATGTAACTCCAAGTCAATCACACTTCTGTGAAATCAAACTGATTAACAATAAATTTCACATGCTGTTGTGCAAATGGAATAGACAACAGGTAGAAATTATAGGCAATTAGCAAGACACCCCCAATAAAGGACTGGTTTTGCAGGTGGTGACCACAGACCACTTCTCAGTTCCTATGCTTCCTGGCTGATGTTTTGGTCACTTTTGAATGCTGGCGGTGCTTTCACTCTAGTGGTAGCATGAGACGGAGTCTACAACCCACACAAGTGGCTCAGGTAGTGCAGCTCATCCAGGATGGCACATCAATGCGAGCTGTGGCAAGAATGTTTGCTGTGTCTGTCAGCGTAGTGTCCAGAGCATGGAGGCGCTACCAGGAGACAGGCCAGTACATCAGGAGATGTGGAGGAGGCCGTAGGAGGGCAACAACCCAGCAGCAGGACTGCTACCTCCGCCTTTGTGCAAGGCGGAGCATGAGGAGCACTGCCAGAGCCCTGCAAAATGACCTCCAGCAGGCCACAAATGTGCATGTGTCTGCTCAAACGGTCAGAAACAGACTCCATGAGGGTGGTATGAGGGCCCGACGTCCACAGGTGGGGGTTGTGCTTACAGCCCAACACCGTGCAGGACGTTTGGCATTTGCCAGAGAACACCAAGATTGGCAAATTCGCCACTGGCGCCCTGTGCTCTTCACAGATGAAAGCAGGTTCACACTGAGCACATGTGACAGACGTGACAGAGTCTGGAGACGCCGTGGAGAAC